TTGCAAAATCACCCATCAGGCAAAAATATTAGAGGGGGGCACTGTAGGTTTCTGAAGATGAAAGGTCTGAGCTGGAGGGAGGATTTCTCCACCTACATGTTTGCCATGCAGTAGCTTGTCAGACACATTGTGCTTCTAACACCTTTCTCACAAGAAAGTACACCGACAAGCAGATAAACATCACAAAAAAAATGCTTTCAGCAAACAAAATACATTAACAACATGTAAAGACTACTGTCAATGAAATCTGAGAATAATACCAATAAAGAGAAGTTCAAGTACACATCTCTAAATATTCCCAGATAGCATTTTATGACACCTTTCAGATACTGGATAAAGGGACTGAGATACCCATGGTTGCAGTGGGGAAATGAAGCTGAAAGAAAAGCTCTGCTGTGAGCAGGGCCCCATACTGAACCATGGCTTCAGTTTATCCTTTAGGTCGCATTGCCTCCATTTACATTGATTTCATTATTGTACCATCAGAAGATGCTACAGGAAGAATCTAGAAACACATGAACGAGCAGGTTAAAAGTGAATTACTGCCAATGGTGCTCACAGGCCCATCAAAACAACCTCAAAAACCTAACAAAACGTCCCGAGCAAAGCATTCTAAAACTTGATTTTTCCCTAACAGCAAACCACATCATGGTGAGGCTGGCTGGCTGTGGGTCTGGAGGAAAGTAAAACCAATTCAGATGCAGCTGCATTTTAAAGTAGCTTAGCAAGGAAGTGGTGGGTAGCGAAGGTGTCTTCAGTCCTGCTAGGTAAGTACATTTGGCTGTTATGCAGTGACTCTTAACTCTTTCCCTGGATTTAAACATCTTTTTGTGAGCAACACAGCTTTGGTGGTTCATTCAGCAAAAGCGACTCTGGTCTATCATTAGGAAAGGTTGTCTTACACTGATATTTGAGATGGTCTTACAAGAGATGGTGACTTTATAACTAAAGTATATGACATTGCAAAAATCAGGCTCGTGTTCAGTTGAATCCTTTGAGATATGGAATGCTAACTGGAAGAAAAATGAAAAAGGTTCAGGCACTTCATATTTCAAATATAAAATTCCTTGACACACACACAACCTCCTATATGTATTTTAAAAATAATACATGCACAATTGAAAAAGGAAAAGCAAGTAAGAATTTGCTTCACAGTCACAGCAACATAATTGAGATGTCGTCGCCTGTGTATGGATTAAAGATGGCATCACACTGCAGTGTTAGTTATTTAGCATTAGAGGCAACCCATTGGGAACTCAGGAGGAGGAGGGGGGCTCTGGAAATGCCCTCATTTGGCACAAGCTGTGGGTGAACTTCCTGTGAAACACCTGCAGAGAGGAAGGCACTTCACCCTCCAACCCAGCCAGGTGCCCAGAGGGTCAGTAAAGTGCAAGACTTCACCTGTCTTGGGTCAGGACTAATGACACATGCATGCTTGTACTCAGGGGCAAGAGTAGATAAAATGGTCATATTTATTTATTTTCTCTCCAAAAGAAACAAACCTCAGTTTGTGATAACCAGGCTTACTGCTACTTGAGAGTAAATGCTGTTAGCTGGTTGTAGATACGGGGAGAAAAAAGCTAGGACCGCAAGGAGATTTAGTAAAGGTACAGGTGTCTTAGGGGGTTTGACCCAAAGTAACATCCACATGAGAGACCCAGCTTCCAACATTCTTACAGTACTGGCCATGGAGAGAAACACACACTGAAATGAAATTAGCAATAAAAAAAGAATCTGTCATCTACATCTTACCATTTAGTACAAAATCAAGAGCGAGACACAGCTTCTTCAGGCATCTGTGACTAGTCATTTCAATAATCAACGCTTTTTTTTTTTTTTAATGCTACAGATTTGTATCTACACAAATAAGCAGTCAAGCCACAGTGTTTCGGGTTGCCACAGTGGGTGTTGATTCCTGCATTTATTTCAGTACTGCCATCTTTAACAGTTTTACGCCTCTATTTTCATTTCATTTAAATCACAGGCTGCTGATACTCTGCTATTTTGCATCCCACATGCTGAGACTTGCTTCTTCTGCTGAATTATACGAGTCAGAAATCTGGTCCTTGGTTTGACTTCATTGTGCTGATGAAAGGGTTTCTGTATCTTCTGCAGTCTAGTAAAAAAACCCCAACAACCCAATCCTGTTTTTTCTTTGGCCATCACTAAATTACTATTCCAATAGGCAATTTAAAGACTGAAGCTGAACACTTCTGTTGAAGTGTTTACAGTAGATTAAGGAGTAACTCAGGACTGTGAAATGGCATTTGAAACTCTGTTCTGTTAGATACTGACCTGACTGTGGTTGTAACTAATGCGCACTGCACTCACAAAAAGAACTGTCCTCCTGGACTATGTTTTAACATTTCCACAGGTAGCTACTGTCATTATTTTTCCAGCTCAGATTTTCTAACTGTTCCCCCAGTTTGGATGTAATTTATTAGTTCCAGCAGCATCCAGGTACTTTCAGGGGTACTACCAGAGCCCTTTGCATCTCCTGAATCAGACAATAGTACATCAAGTTTCCTGGGTGTTTCATTATGACAAAGACCAAAGCAGTCAACAATAGGTCATTTGTGAGAAAATGCATTTTCATTGTTTGGCTGGCTGAGAAACTAATAAAACAAACACAAAAATTACACACCTATACAGAGTGCATAGTTCCTTTTCTTACTGAATCATTGCTACTTAACAGACCTGGATAGCAAAACCAAAGGGATTTCCATTTGCTGTGCATTTCCTCCTTCAAGCATACCCATCAGGTGATGCCGTAGAACTGCCTAGGAACACCAAGAAACTGACATACATTTTGACTCATTATACACAAGTTAAATCCTTATTAAGGATCCTTTGAGTGACTGAGAGGCAACAAACACAAGCAAGTGTCCAAGACGTGCCCTTGCACTTGTGAATAATGACCTTCCAAAATACATTGCAGAGTAACCGATTATCAGAAGCACCTTTTCAAAGGGCTGAGTACCAGGAAGAGAGTCAGGGCTTCTGGACCCCACGGCATCCTTATGCACCATAATCAACCATGTCACATGGCAGCTCATCAGCCTTACAGCAACAGGTTGGACACACCACAGGAAGCTCATCACTATACTCCAAATTTCAGCTTTAACAGTAACAGCTGTGAGTTTGTACAGGATGCTCTGGAACATAACACTGTGCAGCCATAGCACCAGCGAGGCAAGTATTTCACAGATTGAAGATTACCTGACAGTTTTTTGTCACCAGCTGCTGTTATTTACTCATTTGTTTGTCTGTTCCTTTTTGTCCCCTAACTAAAAAAAAAGTCCTCATCATCTGGTAAGCTTGTTTGGGACAGAGGAAGACTTCCTAGAATTGTGTGTTTATGCATAAGTTAAGCACATCTCAGTCTAACAGCCGAATGTTAAATGAGGATCAGGGTCATGTGAAGTGATCACGTTTCTTTCTTGGAAAGAAGGGTATACTATTCATAGCTGTTTGTCACTTTAAACTGACACGAGCAGCTTTATGAATGGCTTGTGTTTAGATATTGGAGAGGACGGACTCTTTTTCTTAAAGCATTTTAATACCACTGTATTAAAACTGACTGTCTGACAGTGCTGTGGGAATTAACCATTGACTTTAGGACTTCTCCAAGTTGGGTGGTGGGGAGCAGGATCTCAAAGACGCCGCACCTACATTATTACTCTTTGCCAAGGAAGATGCCACCGCATTTGCACCCAAGTTTAAATCACTGCTTCTCCACACACTTTGTTAATACCCGCTCCTTTTAAACCACCTTCCCCTTCTTTAAGTTTTTAGCGAGCCTGAACAGAATTAGGGCTCCTGGATGATTACAGACACTTATAAATTATTAAAGGGGAGCTTCTAGACTTACTTTTGAGTATAGGCTAATAGCCGACTTGTGCACAATTGACATATGACACAGTTCATGATTTCACAGGACAATGAGGAATTTTTCCACTCCGTATTTTCCTCCACAGATCTACTGAGATAAATTATTTCCACAAGTCTTAAGTAAAGCCTTTTTTTCAGATGAAAAAGCAGACAGTAAGATTGCAATCATCATAATCATAAAATACCAGTATCAGTACTATTACCTGTCCTAAAACACTCTAGCCACAACAGTATCAAAAATGACAATTCTCCCTAAATATCCAGTTGCAGGGTGTTCCCAGGTTCAAAAGAAAAAAAAGAGGAAAAAAAGAGAAAAGCATTTTCTGCTGCAGTGGAATAGCTGATTTTGCTTTAACACAGAAGTTAGAAGAATGATAATTTTGGTGTTTTAGAGTAGTTCCATGATTAAGTCATAAAATCCATCCTGGAAAATGAAGTCCCAGAGTATGCCTTTGTTCCCTTATTGGAAACATATACAGTGGCTGCAGCAGTAACTTATCACGCGAGTATCAGCTGACTGGTGGGATGCACATTATCCATTTCTGATACAAGCAATTTTTATGCATTATCCAGCAGTGAAGACGTCTTCCTCCAAAGCAATCTTTGCTGTGTATTCTGTCCTTGTCCTTTGCACCAGGAAGGATAAATCTGGCATATTTAACATCTGTATTTGGATGCTGACCCTGACAGTAACTTTGTCCAGGTCTCCTGGTGAAGGTGTGGACAGAATGGCATAGTCAGTGTACTGGCTCTATCAGAAAAGACACACTGGAAAGAAGTTTTGTAAGCAAAACAAACAAAAAAATCCAAACCAAAAAAGCAAACCAACTTTGAAGTTGACTGTTAATGCCTTCCTTTGCTCCATTTAAGCACATTGTTGTTTGCCGACATTTCTGTTGAGCCATCAAGTAGTTATCTGCATTCCAGCTGCTTATGGAAATTGTCTTAGAAGAAGCTGGTATATCCAAATAAGAAATAAGGACATAGGCAGGCTTAAGGATAAAGATGACATCAATAAGAACTTAGTACTATCTTTGCACCTCAACCTCTAGAAGGTCACCTTCTGTTTACAGTAATAACTAAACCCAATGAACTATCACAAAAGGAAGTATTTCCTTCTGTACATGATTTTTATTATTTACATAATACAATACAGCATAGATGCTGGGTAGCATGATTATGTGCAATACATAAATATGAACTATCTGTACATGTTTGCATATCTAATAACTCAGAAAAACAAAGTTAGAAGCAAAAACCTGATACTTTTAATAGTGAAGTATAAACTAAGACTGAACACTGCAATAAAAATTGGAAGTTCAGGAGTAGCGCCTTGTGTACAATACGTAACTATTTACAGATGAGAACAGGCATTACCACAACACTAGTCTAAACTGTACTTGTTTATATAAAAAAACACAAGTTTCATACATCACAAAACCCCTTCCATTATAACACAGAAGTGATATTACCAGACAAGCATCAGTGAAGTATACTGCCTTTTCTAGAGTTGTTATTGTACAATGCTGTAGATAATGCAGCCCATGCAATACACCCAAGAACACTAGTCCTACACCCAAGTACAATTAAAAATGATAAAGCAGCCCTCCAAGAGTGGTTCCAGCTACCAGTTAAGTCTACAGCAGCCATGTTGGGTATGGTTTTCCATGCAGAACAGTGCAATTGTTACATTTAAAACTAGAAAAAATTAACTCCTAATATTCTTTTGAACTCAGAACACACAGAACTTAAGTAGTATATGAATAATAAACTGTTCTAATACTTCAGCAACTTACCCATCAGACGTATTGCTTGATAGAGCTGATGTGGTATGTCTAAAAACATATGTAACTTTTTTTTGGTAAACCAATCTTACAATATTGTGCTACACGACATTTTTAGCTATGCAAGGAAAAGCAGACAACTCTGTTGCAGGTCAGTTCGTAAGTTCCTAGCAGGACATTTCCTTCAGGAACCGATTTTACAGAATCACACAGAAAGTTAGGGATTGGAAGGGACCTCCAGAGATCACCAAGTCCAACCCCCTTGCCCAAGCAGGTTCACCTAGAGCAGGATGGACAGGAATGCATCCAGGTGGGTTTTGAATGTCTCCTGAGAAAGAGACTCCACCACCTCCCTGGGCAGCCTGTTCCAGTCCTCTGCCACCCTCAAAGTAAAGAAATTTTTTCGCATTTTCATGATTCTAAAGCTAATGTAATCTTTTCCAAAACAGTCTTCTTCTCATACGTATCTGATTTTTTCCACTTTTCTCAGTGCAATTGATAAGTAACTTTCTTAAATATGGCACCAACATTCATTTTACTGGGATGGTGGACCCCTCTACGTAACATACACTCTGCTGGAAAACAATGGAGTGTGGAAACTAAAATTAGAATGACATTTAAAATGATAGACTGCCAACCTTTTCGATGTATCCTTCTCCAAAACAGGCACATAACACTAACCAAAGATTATATATCTCAAACATATCTGAAAAGTCAGATCTGCTGCAAACATGCAGATAGCATACATCTGTTTGGCACACGTGAACTAGAGAGTCTGTCCTCTGTGCATGTGAATTCCTATGCAGGTTTCTGATCATCCAATTATATTCTGGGGAGGGCATATATATTTTCAAGGGCTGTATCTATCCGATTCTGCCTGTAACAAACACCCAAACATTCTGAAATATCATTATAAGACAGACAAGACTAAAAGTAAAACTTTGGAGAACAGAGGAAAACGGCCATGCACCTGCTCTTTTGTGTTTTCCTAGGATATATTAAAAACAAAGAGTCAGTCAGTCTGTTCACAAGCAGGTTAACCTATATTCTCTGGATTTTTTCAGCCACCACAACTGGATTCTCTTTCCTGATTTTTGCTGCAGCTTCTGCTTTGTAATCATACGGGCAGTTATGCTTGTCAGAGTATCGGTGAAGTCCACAAAATAAGTTTCCACATCGGCAGTCAAATCCTGTACATAGAAAAAGAAGCAACATCATTAGGAAGCTTCGTATTTAATCAAGCTGTAAATTAAGGGATTAGTCACTACAAAGGCGGTACGCTCGCCTACTCTGACATACAGAGTAAAAAAAATGAACAGCTGTATTAAGTTGTTTGGATTCTGAAGAAGCAACTAAGTTTAATGGTACAGATATTTCATCAAGTTTAATTTAGCAAGAGGCAACTAATCATACAGATGTGTTGAAAACTGATTAAGTGTTCTCATACCTGTAAGGCCAACCTTCTTTCTGCACATGAAACATCTGTTCTTCTTTGGTTTGGGCAGCTCAGGAGTCCTCTCTTCACTCTGCGACGTACTAGGCTGAGAAACCGATGGGCTTGGTTGAGTAACAACTGCCAAAGCAAGCAAAGGAAATAAAGGTTAAATGTCCTTTTCTTGATTTCACTAGCATGCGTGTATTCCTTAAGGACTAATTCCCATATTAAGATCCTCATGTTTGATGTCTATAGTACTACACAGACTACTGTACAAAAATGCAAATCAGGAATAGGGATTTTTAGGTACTCTATTCTTCCCTTTTGGGTCTACACAAGACAATCAGATTTTCCCCACAGTTCCACCAGCCAGAAAATATAAAGTACTTATTTGTTACACCTATACAGAAGTATACAGGTATTAAGGGCTTGGAATGCAGTCCAGAAGTTCCATGCACACATTTAATGTTTTCAAAAGTCATATGATCAAGTAACATTTAATCTAAAAAATAACATTATTGTCATGGCTAAAGTTGCTGAACAGATGGGATATCTGTGCAGAATATAACTAATAGGTACGTATTTTAGAAACAAATGAAATTCAGTCATGTGTTACTATTATCATACTATGTTACGTTGCTACTACACTTGTGAAGTCAGATGCCTGAAACAGGTCACCAAGACAGCAGCTAGCAAGCCACTGATTCTGTGACAGATCCAGAGCACAGCTACAAAACACACAAACTTCAAAAGAGCCCTCACATTTTCAACACTTTCAGTTAAGAACAAAGTGCAGATTTACACTGGATATCTGTATTTTTGCATTGTATTCAGCTTTAGCGTTCAAGTAGGTATAGTCAAAATGAGTCATTTTTTAATTGCCTCTGTCATGAACACCTTCAGACAAACTTCAGTTACAATTAACTTTAGTTATCTGAAGGATAAAAATTTGTCCTTTTTTGAACTTCTGTGAATCTGTTCATTTTGTTTAAAAAAGTATTTTTTTTTTTCCAGTCAGCCAAACAACCGTTGTTTGGGGTTTTTTGTTTGCTTGGTTTTTTATATCCTCTTTATTTCCAAACTAAAAGGGAGGAAAGCTGAGAGGTGTGTTTTTACACAGCTTTAACTCCTGCCCCTGGTACAGTTTTCCTGAACTCTCCCAGCTGTATGATGACATCTATTGTAAAACAGAACAAACTACAAAATGCATTCCAGAATAAATGCTTAGAACTTATTGGTAATCAACTTTATGCAGAAAAATAAGATTTGTTAGTTGAGATTCTTTTGGATCAGTAAGTGTTGTATCCGGTGAAAAGTGCATTTTTTCCCAGACATGAAGAAACAGTTATGTTGGTTGTTTTTCTCCTTACTGTTCATACTTGTTTTTTAAAATTATGTTTGCATTGACCTGTTCACAGGTATTTTAAAAACCAGTTCAAAATTGCCACTAATACCTAGAAAGCCTCAGAATTCACTGTAAAACAAGACAGCCCCCAGTCAGGACTTCATAAACTAAACAAGATTTAAAAGTGACAAGCTCTCAGAGGTAACAAGGAACCTTCAGTTCTCATCACCAAAAAATTTCATGCAGTGAAACAAAGGTTGCTAAAATTTTCTTATACTTTACTTACACATTATAGCAACAGTTGTAATAGCAATAGGCCTAACTAAGGCACTTACTGCCTTTAATTTTTGTTACCTTGGATAGACCTTTTCCTAAAAAATTTGGGAAGTTCAATGTCAATGCTATTTTGCCAAATCTGAGGTATGAGTAAATTATTACAGCACTAGTACCACAATCACTACTTCTGTTGGAACTCTTTGGGGTCATTTCTGCTGCTGCTTGTTTTTTTGAGAAAACAATTCCTTTGTCTTGATGATTAACGTTTTCTAGATGAACAGATATGATCCTCTATATTTGTCTTTAAATCCAAGGAAACCAGTGTTTGCTATCCCTTAATCTATTTGAGAGCCTGTGACCAAAAACCACATTAAAAACCAGTGTTATCACAGGGTAAACCTGTTGGATACTATGCACCTTGGCTAACAGCCATCAACTACGGCCTTAAAAAAAAAGACCTCCCCAAAAGCATGGTCAAACCCTTTTTGCATTTCTTAGATTGCTCATTTCTTTAAAAGTGAAATACTAATTGTATGCCATGGCAGACAAGAAAGGTACCAGAAATGCTCACGCACTTTGCAATTTGGTGTATAGCTAGCCAGGAGGAAGCTTCATCAGCATCAGAACCAACTTATACGTACAAGCCCTGGGAGCACCCATGCTGTTTCAATCAGATGCAAAAGAAAATGCAGAAGGGGCAAATAAACAGTGACCTCAATAGTTAAAGTTACTCACAACATGCACTAAGAGAAAACGAAAGCAGTAAGAGAAGCAACCTTTATCACTGCCAACAAGGAAGAAACTGTGGCAACAGCAACTTCCGAGGAATCACCAAGGCAAATAGATAGCCTAGTAGATCAATCTACCACAAAACAAATCCATCTAAGGGAAAGTGCTCCCAACTACTACAGGTGTACTTCCTTCTTTGCATGAATAAACTGTGAAAACTGGCAGCTCGGGAACTGGAAAATTATGAGAGTCATCCTAAGAAACTATGGAGGCACATGCTGAACAGGATCCTTCCACCACAACTAAAACAACATGCAGTAATGGGCACTAAAAGGTCCCAAGACAAGATGGGACACAGGCCCCTAAATCCAAATTAAAATGTGTCATTTATAACTTCCCACGAATAAAAGCTTTTCCTATTCTTTTATGCCAGCAGAGTTAAGTCTGATGATGAGTTTTTATCACGTTAAACCTTCATAAATGTGCTTCTGAGTAATGGCTAAGACAGAAGTAAAGCTAAAGCTGCCTACCCTGCCCCTTACTTAAAGCTCAGACTAAAAATGCTTTTTCATCACCCTGTGGCTTGGATGAAAAATACTGTAAATTGTAGTAATTGCACTGTAATTGTACTGCCATGATATCAGGAGCAAATATAAATTAATCAAATGCTGTCCTGACAACCGCTTGTCACAAAAGGCTTCCTTTAGCACAGAAGCTAAATCCAGCCAGGCAAGTAAAATTCCAGTCTCCAATATATTAAATTCATGTTATGCTAGAAATTACCGTGTTAAACAAAGTGCTCTAAATGATTACTGTATGATTCCCATGGAATGAATAACTGAAGAAATGCTGAGTGGTTATTGGTACCTGTACAGGTTTTATCACTTAACCAAGTTTCTGTTCTCCCTCCATCACCTTGGTCGCTTCCCTTTTCAACCTTGGGCTCAAAAAGTTATCTGATTGGGTTTACTTCACTTGAATTTTAGCGGATCAGTTCTCCTACTACAAGGCCAAAAAACTTAGGAGCAACAGATTTTCAGAACTGGGCAGGCCTTTATTAACTATCATTTTGGACTGAAATTATTATCTGTAGGCACTGTAAAATGCATTACCATCATCCACAAGGAAGACTATTGCTGATCTAAGATGATAAAGACTAACATAATTCTAGTATTGGAGAAGTACCTGAAAAACCCCCCCACAAATACAGGCATTGCATTCTGAATTTGGGAAATCTTCCTTCACATGTAGTCTGAAGAGAAGACACATCCTTACAAAAGGTATGTCGGAACAGCAAGGCCACTGATGAGAGAAGTTAGCCACACCATGACAGCTACTCAAGCTATACACAGAAACGTCCTACAAACTGGAGAACTAAGCTCTTCTCAGACCCAAAAGTATTATTCCGCAGTGACTATGTGGGACTGCCACTCAGAATTAAAAACTGCTCTAAGAACAGGATTTTCAGAACTGACAGTAGTTTTCCCTATATAAACCAGTATTGCTGCTACAAAAGAGCCTGCCTACCGTAGGTGTTTTCCCACTGAGATTTCACAATGGAAAGGAATGGTTCCAGTGTTTCAGTTGAACAAAACCTGATCAAAATACAGCAGTATTACTTTTTAACCCTTTCCATAACAAGAGGAACCAGAAAAGGCTACTGAAATAACACCAAGAAGTTTTTAGAAGCTTCTCTGACTAAACAAAAATTAACCAAAATAAGATCCAAACAGCATGACTTTCACAGTACTAGTCAGTGGTAAACATATCAGTGGAGCAAAGTCTTGAAAGCATAAAAAAAAAATAACGTTGATTTAAGCATTCTGACTTGATGAAGATAACACTCAACCCTCACCATGGAAGAACTGGAAAAAATTAAAACAAGAAAAAAAGACAAACTCAAAAGTAATCAGAAAGACCTAAGACTGCACTTCTGCAGTACCAGAACAGAAAGATTGTACTAGAGACCCTGCAGTGCTTATACGGCAGATTAAAGCAATGGACTTGTATGTAAAATTTTAGTTGCAAAAGATGGACAGTTCTTATTATGCTTTATAAAGCTTCCTGAGCCTAAATACTTTATTCTTCAGGAACTGCAATTGCTATGCCAACCCAGATGTCCATGATGAAAGTCTACAGAATAAACTTCTATCGTGTTTAATTTAATGCCAAAGACAGGGAACAGGAATGTTCTGCAGCATGCAACTCATCTCCCACACGCCCAGCTCCTAACAGGCATATTGAATACCTTCACTGGTTCATTAATACAATGTAAAGATACCTGTTTCAGTATCACACAGAAATATGGCTTAATTTGGTCACTATGAAGACTTGACACCTGTGACATACCACTATTAAAACAAAACAACAGTGTTAAAGGAGAAGGTGCTGCCTGACACACCATTCAAGGAGTCGCACACACACCACTCAAGTCTTCCACTGCTCAGACCAGGATCCCTTTGCAGCAGGTGACCCCAGTGAGCCAACGGCTGCCACTTGCGACTCCTCACACTCCTGGGTGTGCTCCCTCCTTCAAGCTCAACCCTAGGTTTTCCACAGCAGAGTCTCAGATGTCAGGTTTTATAAAAATAAGTAAATTATTTGAAAGGTACATCAGCAGGGTCAGCCCAAGCTGGGTGCCTCCAAAAAGGGAGGAATCTCAAACAAAGCAGGTACATCAGCAGGGTCAGCCCAAGCTGGGTGCCTCCAAAAAGGGAGGAATCTCAAACAAAGCAATCTGTGGGCAGTTAGACCCTTGCGATCTGTACAGCCACCCCTCACATGCTGTTTGCGCATCTTTTAGTCCAATGGTAATTTTTCATCTGGGATCTTCTAAAACCGTACTGGATTTTTTTTTCCTGTGTCCATGCAGATTAGACTGCTCTGATCTTGTTGATTTGCAGTCTCTGCTGAAGGTTGTAGCCTCTTTATCTTCTGGTTTACCCTTCTTGTGTGCCTGCGCTCTTGCTGGCAGAACATCAGGAACTGAACCAGACTTGGGGAAAACACCACCAAAACATCAGCACATTGACATTTTGCTCATACTAAAAGACTGAACACAGCATCGCACTCCACAGTGGCCTGAAGGCTTCTGCAAATCTAGTTACTCGTGCTAAGAAAAGCTAAGCAACCAGCATAAATCCCACCATATGATAATCCTAAGTAATTTAGTCTAATTAAAACTTACTAAAGCTAAACAACTAATATCTCCTGACAACAGTTGGGTCCCCAGTCTTATTTTCCAAAGTGAACAGCTCCAGGGCTTAGAAGAGACTACTGGTTCCATTTCAGAATTGTTTCAATTAGGGGCATCTACTGAAGCTACAGCAGACATGGGAAACATGAAGATGAGCTAATTATTTTCAACACAAGACAGTTCTTAGACAATTTTACCAACTAGCCACAAAAGAACTGTCTACAGATAGACACATAGTTAAAATATTATAGCCATGTGTGAAAAAAACCACCAGAATTAACAAGACACTCTTTAGAAGAAGGTCTAAGGAATATCACGTAGTTACCATCTTGAGACTACCATATCTCATAAACTAGCTGTCTATTTGTCATCTTCCTCACAATATTACCTGCAACACACTGTACACATCACAGATAAAACACACCGGTTCTATCTACAATGTAAGTGAGGAGAATCCGTAACAGGTCTTGAACTGAATGAAGGAGAACTGTCAAAAAACCCTAATCATAGTGGCTTAGTAGAAAGCCAACAGACAAGTGAGCCAGCCACAATTACCTGCTGTCTTCTGAAGCTCATTAAGGAACAGAAAGGGTGAGCTACTATGCACATGGAATTATGCAGCAAGTTAACAGTATTTGGGGTATTTTTAAAAATAAGTAATTTACACAAGACCACAATCAGTTCAATTTTTCGTTCACTTTCTTTATAAACACTGCTTCTCTGTAGCTGTGTCTTCACAAAATGATAGCTAAGCAGACTACTCCCTAAAACAGAGCTATTACTGGGTAAAAAAAAAAAAACAAAACCAAAAACCAAACCCAAAACAGCCACACCCAACCAACAACAACAACAAAACAACAACGCACCAATCCAAGCCTCTGATATACCTGCTGATACTAACTATGTCTGGAAACACTGACAGACCTGACTGGAGACTCATCATTCAGCAAGGTAATGACCTACAAAAGTGGAACAAAATACTAAACATATGCTGTAATATGAGTAAATGAATTTGTTTTCTAAGCAGTTTACTTTTAGTGGTTACTATGTAACTCAATTCTCTTTCTTGCATGGCTCTTTTATTTCCATTCAAATACTTGCTAAGAACACCCCCACATTTGTTAAGGAAGGGCTCCACTCACCAACTTGGTAGATGTGTTACTCTATCAGAGCAACCTCAGGAAACAAAAGGAGCTCACTAGGTTTTGCATTTAATTCCTGCAACTCAGCACAGCAAACAAAGCAACTATGAGTTGTATTACTAGAATGTTTTGGGTATAGTCTGACTTTGGTGAAGACTGTATTAGAATTCAATACTTAAAAAGAAGCATAAAAGCTTATAAAAATTCTATTAAAAGTATTTTGTAAGTGGCACCCGCTAATAAATTTGAGTTTGGACATAAAAGCCTTTAGATTTCTCTGACTTATGACCAGTTCAGATACATAACTGAACACATGCCACTGCTCAATTATGAAATTGCAACAAACAACTAAGAACTAAGAAATTACAAATCACAAGAAAACACAAGTACTTTAGACATCAAAATTACACCCAACTACGTCAGTTACATCCATCATGCCTTTCTTCCTTCAAAGTTAAGATAAAATTGTCTTCGCACTAGATTTGTTCTGAATGAGAATCCAGGCTGCAACTCAACCTGTGCAAAGGAAAAAAAAATAACCACACCCCAAACCCAAGAAAAATAAGCCTGTTAAGCTACGTTCTCAACTTCACCATCTTCCCCAATCAGCTCCTTCAATTCCAATAGCAAACAAGTACAATTTTATACTACAGCCTGCTAAAAAAAAATATTAAAAAAATCAGTTGACCAGACGTAATTCTATTTTTAACTGTCTGGCTTCTAAGGGAAATATCCGAAGTTTCATTTGCTAATGAAAATCTGGCAGAAAAGAATGTGACTTCATACTGTTAAAGACAGTAAAAGGAGAGCAAGCTACTTTGCTTGAAGGCTATATTGTTTGTTCATTACCTGCTCATAACCATCTGACAGATGGTTACGAAATTCAGTTGCTAGGGTCAGACTGTGCTTACAACTAGGCTGTGTTTTCACTAACAACTCCATGAGTGTGGCATTATCTCATAGAAAGTATTAGCTTTGTTGTTATGAGGCAATGTGAATTATTTACTATTATTGCAGTTGCTCCTTGAGAGGACAGACCAGCACATATAGGATGCTGCTGGAAAAAGGAAGAGAAGAAAAATGCAACTAGTCCAGACACAACAGGCATTTTTATGCCTGTTTAGGCCAGCTTCTCTTGCCTGTAAGACAGAGATCAATGTACCACTGAAGACTGCCAATGCACTGAGTATTTCATACGTCCAACAAACCCCAAGAACAGTATAAAAGGACACTATACTATGTTGTCTACAATCTGTGCCAAACCATAATGCTTAAAAGGGAACTTGGGCATTACAGCTGAGGCTGTCTCATGAATTTACAGATAAGTACTTAGGAAGGCAGTTTTGTTCCACAAGTTCTTTCCAGAGACATTTAAGCTCTCTGGCAGTTTTTCCAGTGATCTTTACAGAAGCTTGTGACAGCTTTTACTGGTTTCAACCTGCGAGATTATTTACAACAACATATAAGTATCTTGAGCTGCTTTTGGATTTTTTCCCCTATTCCAATCAATAAAATGCTATGTGACACTATTTATACAGTTAACCCACATTACCTCTTTTTCAGGTACTATGTCAACAGTAACTGAAGATCATCCTTTACACCTTGCAAAACGACAAACTCATACCGGCAATTCTAACAAGAGTAAAATCACCTATGACTTCACCACTGCTACCATTTTGCGTATTCCTCTTTCCTGCTTGCCACATTTCAGGTAGGCATTCATACCAAGGCAAGATGGGTTTCTAAATACTGTAGCAAAGTCTAAATTATTTCTTAGCTACATACAGAAAGCCTCTTCAGATGAAAACAGTTACAAAGAAGTTAATACTTGCAAAAATCTCCTCTGAGTCCACACATTAAAAAAGCCCCAATATACTTTATAACTGTACTTTAGTTCATGTCACATAATCTTGACTTGCATGACCTACTGCAAATAGCAAAACCCTCTGTACAAATACTGGGCAATTAAATACTAGGCCTTAGAGCAGTCTTTGCTGGCAAAGATATACCTAGATAAAAATCACTTTTATATACTACTGAGTAGCATGTTCTTGAATTCTGCAACTGACTTCAAAACTGAAAACATGAATTTTATCTTCAACTTGAGTAAACAGGCTTCCTACTAAACATCAGCTTTTAGTGTTTTAAGACTGTTTCAGAACTGTTAAATTTATTTTTAAAAGTGTGAATATGCTTAAGTACAGAATAAGGGTGTTAAGATATCCATTTGAACAAATTAATATGAATTCAATCACTCACTAGTTGTATGTAAGAAAGTTGCCCTTCCCGGTCTCTCTCCAAGTAGTAGTTTATTACTCAATTAGTTCAAGAATGCTAAACAACTTTTGTTAGTATTTTTAAACAACAAATTTCCTCCCCCCGCAGCCTCACTCCTCTGCAGGATGGAATTTATTAGGAACTCCATTCTCCAAATGCAACAAAGCCATTTCAACTGCCATGAGTCAGCAGGAATTGTATTGCTAGATAATAGACAGAAATCTCAACAGTTTGACTGCAAAACTGAACACCTTGCCCACATGCAATTTTAGTGTACCTTACTTTTAAAAATGAAGGTTTGGGAGGCAAAACCACCCTCAGGGGTGTCAACTTTCTTACTAACATTGAACATGCATCTTAGAACTGCATTGTGGTACTAGTGCTTTTTCTTGATTCTGACAAGAGATTACTCAAAAAGCACCCTTGGCAGTCATCTTACTGGTTCCTCAAGACCAGCACCACAACACAAGATGCCTACTTAAAAGTAACCCAACTGTCAGCTTCCATTAAGTCACTAGTTGTACCCAGTGTTACTCTGCCAACATACCTGGCTCAGTCTCTGTTTTCGGCGTTACTTTTTCGTCTCTTGAAATGCTCATTTCTGTCATTTGCTGCGTTACAGGCAAAGCGGCAACAGGCACATTTCTGTTTAAGTACAGTGAAACACATAATTTGCTTTAGTTTTGCATTCATAATAAAAGCTTAAACTGTCCAGAGCTATTAATAAACTGCCTATTTAGTCACTACTGATACACATTGCTGACCTCTGCTTCTACTACCTTCAAAACACATTTTTTTTCACTCTTATTTTAGTTTCCCTTGAAGAAAACAGGCAAACCTGAAGCAAATATTTCTCCAGATAAATGAAAACCATCCCTTTAAGCGTAGGAGTCCAGGAGCAAATATTTTAATCAGATTCATAAAGGACTGTCAGGCAGACTGCCCCTTTTTCCTGTGCAGAAACTTACTGCAACAGGGCAGGCTTGCTGCAGGCCTTCAATTCGCTGCACGTTCACAGCTCATTCAGACCCCAATGTAATACCTTCACCTTACCTTGATTTTTCAGATGTGCTGCCAGCAGCACCTTCACAGTTGTTTAAGCTAGTGTCTGCTCTCTGTACAGATGCAGAGTCTGAGGTAGGACTGTTTGAACCACTGGCTGTTCCTATATAGCAAGAATTTCACAAGTTAGTTATGAACAAATTGTAGAATATATGCTAGTCAAATAGTCTTGTATACAGCTATGAACTGTCTGCACACAATCTTCACTCCTACTGCTTATTAAATCCTACTTAAAGACAGGCCATACTGTTAATAAGCAAAGTAAGAGATTGTATAAGAACATGCTAACAGAGGAGGCTAAGTGGGAAAGCAAGTTATGGCTGAATGCCAAGCAAGCCAGAACACATTACACAGAAATGTATTTTTATCTTTACTGTGATTTAAAGTAGCATCCTCTTTGATATTGTTTTAGTACAGGGCTTTCAGAAGTTCTCCTGAAAAATCTTCTAGGATTCCTTGTCATCTTTAGTATGTTTTATTTTTAAAAAAATAATAAAAAAAAACCAAACCAAAACAATCACACACCCTTACCCATTGGGCTTATTCTACCACTATTCTGCTGTCGCTGAAGATGCTCTTTGTAGCAAACAGAACACATCCCATTTGTCCTAGGATTTCCATAAAATCCACATCCTGTACTACACAGCATGGGCCCTGGGGTCTGGTTTGTCTCCTGAGTCATCTCAATGCTGTAAATAAAACCAAGAACTGCATTAGGAACTGGCATGTCACCAAAATCAATTACGGGGTTATAAAATTAACGTATGTCTGCTCACCCTACCCCCCCAAAAGTGATGTCAGCATTCTTAAAGAGGCTTATATGGATGTTAATATACCATTCAATACTGCAATTGTATTGCTAAGTAACATCATTATGAACCTTTAGGAGAATAAAAAGTATCATCATATAAATACTGAGAAGTGACGTCACTGGAACCAAGCTGAACGTGAAGGCAATGACCAAATTCAATCTGACAGCCAAAAAAGGCCCTTATTACCAACCTCTGAGCACTAACAGGGATCTGGCAAAATAAGCAAGATCAAGTTCATCTCTACCAAACAGTTCTGGCAAACAACATAGCTTATTTTTTCCCCAACTCCAACAGAATAGCCCCACTTTTCCGGTAATGCTGATCTTGCATCATTTTACTGCTAATTCCACTACTAGCAGTTCCTACTCTCACAATACATTTGTCAAACAAACAATAAAATTCCCCGAAGCACTGGCTGCAGCCATCTGAAGTCTGTACTCCTATCTTTAGAAGGAGTTTCTAAAACAAGGCCTTGATCAGGGCTTAAATCTTGTATGAAACCTGACACTAACTGGCAACAACGTGTGTGTAATGGACCCTTCAACAGAGAAGCAAAAGAATATCTCTGAAATAAGTTTAGACTAGATCTTACTCTTCCAAAAGAAATAAAATTAACAACTTCAAACTCTTGAATACGTTCTATTACACACCCTACCCATGACAAAAAAACCAAACAACAACAACACTAAAACCAAACACTTAAATCCTTTTAAATCCTTTGTCTTAATAAAGTTATACCAAGACCTCTGAGACTCCAGCAGACAATGCTAACTCTCTGCCATGAACTACAGAAGTTAGGAATAAAAATACTTCACCTTCACTGCTAGTTAACCTCTGCAAAGCAAGGTCAGTAGGAAAACTGAACAGCAACCAAATCCTTGATTCCCAAAGGCAGTAAAAGTGGAACAGAGTAATCAAGCAATCTACTACAAATTGAGGACACGCAAGAATATTGCATTTGTCCTCCCAAAATTTAAGTTTAGTAGAAGCACTGTACGTGGCACCTGGAGACATTTCAGTATAATCTCTACATTGCTGTCTTCCTATTCCAGAACATTTAGAAGTCAAAAACACCACTGACATTGAGAAGTCAAAAACGCCAAAAGTGAATTAATTACCGTGTACAGAGAAATGCTTCCTTTAATTAAGAAATCCCACACTGCAAGTAGTAAACTTACGTTCCACTAGTATGACGACTGCAACTGACAGCTGCCTTTGTCTAGTTAAACAGAATTGCTGGGATCAAAGTAAGCCAAGAGCAGGAGAAAGTAAACAAGCAAAACTCATGTGCTTGCTGGCTGGTGGTCATGGGATCTAATTTTCCGGTTATAAACAGCTATATTATTTATGCCTTATTTATATAATCCAGGTGCAAACAGTCTCCTTTGGGGCCTGCAAAACAGCTTCACCCTTACTGCAATACACACACACATCCCCCAGCCAAGGGAGTCGGTAAAAAAACCATGACACACCTAGAGAAATCTGACAAATCACGCAATCCATGCTGTAGGCCTAACACCACAAATAAAAAGACTCCACCTTCTGCCCTTTTCCTAAGCAGGTGAACTCGAGATACCGTCAAACAGGCCGACACCACCCACCTCAGACCTGCTCCGCTTCCCCCACCTCCCAAGCCCAGCTTTAGGTGCTCAGGCTGGTGGCACTGACCTAGGGCACCCCGCAGCTCCTTTGTCACCTGAAAGGTGGCTCCCCAGCCCTTCCGGAGCCCCTCTTTCCCCGGTGGGGCTCTGCCAGGACGCTCACCGGGCCCGACCCCGCTCACCCCGCTTCCCCGCCTCCTCTCGCCGCGTCTCGGCGGGGAGTTGAACCCTCCCGTTCCCGGTTCGCTCCCGCTTCCCGGCGGCGCAACCTTCCCCCCAGC